TCAGGGCTGGGCAGCTTTTCATGTTCATTAAACACCCCAGCCCTGGCTTCTAGCAGCATTTTTGACAGTTAAAAGGGGAAAATGATGTCTGGCCGGCGTGACTCCGTTGGTTGGAGTGTCTGTCCCATCACCACAAGGGAATCACCGCAAGAGAATCTTGTGGTGAAAGGAGTTGGCTTTGATTCAGTGTCCGGGTGTGTACAGGAGACAGTTGATCACCGTTTCTCTCGCTCTCTCCTTTCCTCTCATAAATTAATAAATAGGGAGAACAATGTCTGGTCTTCACTTTATTAAAAATATAATCCAGCAAAGGAAGCAGCGACAAACAAGACAAAGCGATTTGCCCACCCGGTAACAGAGAGCAGTGGCAGGGCTGGTATCAGGACCCTTACCTCCTCGGCCATCTCTACAGCAAGCTATACTTTGGTCGGAAGTGGAAAGTTGGAGTGACACTCACAGGCTGTCACGGAGGCTGGCTCCTTGATGCCTTTGCTCGAGCACACCCTGTGGGTCCCGTGTCACAGCTGCCTTTTCCCCACTCACAGAGCCCTTCTCACGGCCCCTCCCCAGCCCTGCACTCAAGCACAAACATCTCAGTGAGAACTATGGGCTTTATTGCAAATGGAGTTGCCTGCTAAGGAGCCGCCTCTCCAGTCCTCCTTTTCCACTCTTCCTCTCAACACGTCCCTCCAGGCAGGCCACTAGGCCATTATGGAAGAGGAGTCTGGGGAGAGTGAAAAGGTGCAATGTCTTCTCCAAAGTCTTCTGGAACAAGCCCTGAGTCCGCCTGGCTCCAGGTGAGAACCTTGTGATGAAAGGGGTAAGACTTAGCTCCCATCTTCAAGGTCCTCCATGTCTACGTCCTGGGGGGGCTTCGTCTTCTTTTTTGATTTAGGCTGTGGGCCACTAGTCCTGGCTGGCTTTGCAGGGGCTTCCACTGAACAAAGAGAAAGAAGATGCATTAAAGAACCCAAGTGGAGTCAGGCTGCCCCCACATCCCGCCTCTGTGCCCAGCCTCACCTTCCATGGCTGCTTTCTCTTTCTGGGCAAGCCGGATCTGCTGGAGGAGTTTTCTGCGCTTCTTCCCAGACAGAGTAATGTTGGCACGTGCACTGGACCTGAAGGGTTGGCAGGACAAAGATCTGGGTTAACCTGAACAACACAACCACACAGGCGGTTCTAGCTATTAAAAAGGTCTTTGGCTCGGCTGGCATGGCTCAGTGGTTTGCTGCTGACCACGGAACTAGGAGGTCACGGATTGATTCCCTGGCAGGGCACATGCCCAGATTGTGGGCTCAATCCCCAGTAGGCATGCAGGAGTTTCTGTCCCTCTCTCCCTCTTCCTTCCTCTCTCTGAAATCAATAAAATAACTTTTTTTTTAAAAAGTACCTTTCCTGGTTAGAATACTCTACTTTCTGGGAGTTTAGAAGAGAATATGCCCATCTAGTCAGTGGTAGCCCATGCCAAGGGGCTGCTATAGCAAAGGTTTTTAACCGCATAGAACCTCAATGTACCCTTACCTTCCATGCCCATCACAGGCCTAGACCCATGTATTTGTGCAGAGCAATATCTTAACATATAAAAAGCCAGTGTCCCTAATGACCGGAACAACCAAACGACCAGAACGACCAAACGACCAGTGGCCATGAGGTCGCATTGACCACTTCTCGGTCCCTCCCCCCCCCAACCACACCCCCTGTGAGCGGGGGTGGGGCGGGACTGGCCACTGGCCTCTTGGTCCCTCCCCCCTGCCCACAGGCTCGGATGGATCAGCGATGGTGAAAGGGCAATCAGGGTGGGTGGCAGGAGGTCCAGGTTGCTGTCAGGCTGTTATGATCACCAGCTCATCCCCTGCTGCTGGGGGCTCAGGCCTGCGAGAAAGCGGGCACCTGCACTTCGCCTCCATGTGCTTGCGTCGGCCACCACTGATGGAACGCGCTGCCCGCTTGGGGCCGCTCATGCCAGGCGGGTAGATCAGTAGATCACGGGCGCGCCCCCGCAGCCTCTGTCAGCGCCTCAAGCCCCAGCAGCAGTGGCAGCAGCAGCAGCGTGAGCAGCCGGAGCAGGCAGCACGTTCCATCAGTGGCTGGCCCGGTGCACGCGCATGGAGGTGAAGTCTCCGGCGCCCGCTTTCCCGCAGGCCTGAGCCCCAGAGCAGCGGGGGATGAGCTGGTGATCCCAACAGCCTGACAGCCCGGTGGCGGATGCAGCGTTCAGCCTGGGGACTGGTGAACGGGCAGAAGATGACCCTGATCGCAGGAGGCTAGGCCTAGGGACCCTACCCGCACGATTTAATTGTGCGCTGGGCCTCTAGTAAGCAAATAAATGCATAAGCCCCTGTTTTTGTGTTTTGTTGTGTGTTTTGGGGGGGATGAGATTATACTTTTTCTAAATTATTTCAGTTTATTTTTTTCTTTAAATTGAATTTATTGGGGTGACAGTGCTAACAAAATTAGGCAGGTTTCAGGTGGGCAGTTCCACAACGCGTCATATGTGCATTGTATTGTGTGTTCACCACCCCAGTGAGCCTTGTTTTAAAGAACTTTTATCTCAAGTGGGTGGAGGGGGCACAGATGGACACAGTTAAAATATTTGAAATTAGTCTGTTGTTATAGAGTGTTTTGATAATGTTCTTGATGAATTTTGGATGCAGTCTTCTTTGAAAGCATATTCATGATAAAGTGTTTTTCTGAAGATTGTTTTTCAGCAAGGGACAACAAAACTCAGTGTAGAAAAGAACAAAACTTCTATTACAAGTGACATTGGTATGCAGTTTTTCGACCCAAGGACTCAAAATATTTTATTCAGCACAGACTATGAAACTCATGAGTTTCATTTGCCAAGTGGAGTGAAAAGTTTGAATGTTCAAAAAGCATCTACTGAAAGGGTATGATTTATTTTCTTTGCTTTATTAATGGAAGAGAGTTACTGTCCAAAGCAGCGATTTTCAACCCTTTTCATCTCATGACACACAAACTAATTACTAAAATTCTGCAGCACACCAAAAAATATATACTTTGCTGATTTGACCAAAAAATAGATATAATTTTGATTCATTCCCATCAGACAGCTTTATTGTGTTGGCTAATGTCATTTTTTTATTTGATGGTATAAGGGAAAAGAGGTTAGTGCCCCTGGCTAAATAGTTGGGTATTGAATGTTTTAAAGATTCGTGCAGCACACCAGTTGAAAATCGCTGCTCTAAAGGTACAAATTGGGAGGGGAGTTTTACTGTTTTATGTGGCATGAAAGAAATTTCAGAACAATGAGAAGGACAAATTCTAGGTTTGTCATTACCTAGGTTATGTGATCATTATCAAGTCATCGCTTTACCTCAACATCTGTAAAACATGAATGAAAACACTTGCCTTTCATATTCATGGTAAAACTACTATTCCTCTGTCTCTGATAATAATATTCACTTTAACTTTGTAACTCTTTTCACTGCTTTTTTTAAATATTCAGATTACCAGCAATGCCACTAGTGATTTAAATATAAAAGTTGATGGACGTGCTATAGTGCGTGGAAATGAAGGAGTGTTCATTATGGGCAAAACCATTGAATTTCACATGGGTGGTAATATGGAGTTAAAAGCAGTGAGTATTTTTTAAGAATTTAAGAGAATTATAAGATTCTTTGGTATATATAAATCCATATGTGGAATAGTGTACAATGATTAAAAATGGTGATATAGTTGTATATTTTTTGACATGGAAAGATGTTCAAAATGGATTATGAAGTGAAAGTTATAGATTAATTTGCGAAATACCTCATTTTTACATTTCAAAACATGTATAATTATAAAATCTGCAAGGGAATGCCAAATGTCACAATAGTTAGCTATGGGTAGCAGGATAACAGATGACTTTTATTTTTATTTTATTTCTGCTTGCCTGTCATTTTTTAAAAATGTGTATGATGATACCTATATTATTTTAAAAGACAACAACAAAGACCAAACACCACCAACAACAAAAACTTACAAAAGAGAATTCTGAAAGATCAAATTAAGTATCTATTCTCTGAAGTTGGGTTTCTTTTCAGTTAAAGATTTTTCATATTCCTTCCTGGGTTTTATATCCAGTGTCATGAAAATCAATTAGCAAACATATAAAATGTTTTTTTATTTATACGTCCATTGTTAATTCTAAGGGGAAAAGGTTTCCCTTTATTCTAGCTGTGGAAATGTGAGATTCTCTTTGTGCTTTACAGATTATATCTGAATTTTAATAGGTAAATATTTCATAAGGGAGCAGTAAGTCTGAAAATGTTTTACCTGCTCATAATTCAGGTTAAAGCATATTTATTCAAGACTAGAGGCCTGGTGCAAAAATTCATGCACCAGTGGGGTCCCTTGGCCTGGCCTGCAGAATCAGGCCGAAACCAGCTCTCTGACATCCCCTGAGGGGTCCTGGATTGCAAGAGGGCGCAGGCCAGGCCAAGGGACCCCACCAGTGCACGATTGGGGCCGGGGAGAGACGTGGGAGGCTGGTTAGCCGGGGAGGGACCAAAGGAGGGCTCCAGGGCGTGTCCAGCCCCTCTCGCTTAGTCCCGATTGGCCGGACCCCAGCAGCAAGCTAACCTCCCAGTCGGGGCGTCTGCCCCCTGGTGGTCAGTGCACATCATAGCAAGCGGTTGAGTAGCTTTAGCATAACATTAGCATATTATGCTTTGATTGGTTGAACAGATGACTGGACACTTAGCATATTAGTCTTTTATTATATAGGATGTCTTTAGACACCTGCTATGTGTTAATTAATTCAAGCTAATTAACTTTTTTTTACCAAGCACTAAATGACAAAAGTTAACAAACCTAAGGACTTATAAAATAATTCTTTCCTTTATTTAAATTTAATCTCATAGTTCTTAGAAAAAATAAACTTTAAAAAATTAAGTTCTTTCACTTTCATAAATAGCTTTTCCCCCCTAAAGCACATATTCCAATCTCTGAATAAAAATGATGGACATAAAATGTGATTCTTGCCAAAAATTCAGTAGCAATGCAGGGTATTTTTTACATTCCTCTAAACAAATAGTGTTGAAGAATGGTCACAGTGGGGGCATTGTTCTCTGCACTAGAAACTCAAAGAAGCAATAAATGTGATAGATTTGTACCTAGCCATTAGCAAGTGACCTAAGTCTTTTACTTTTTTCTACCTGGAAATCCTACCTGTTGTTAATATGACAATTATTAAAATAATTTGTAATATACATACACCATATCCATTTTTCCACAGTTAAAGAAATAAAGGCCAATATTGAAAAGATAATTAGCTTTGTAATTTAGTTAATATTAGTGATTAGTTTTAAGTATATAGCTAATAATTAGAATTTTATAAAACTGCTTTTAAAAATAACTGCACTAGCAATTTAAAGAAAATAAAATTAAATGACCACACGATGGCAGCATTGGAACAAAATTGGACTATATTTAGTCCATTATACTATCACTTCCTGATCAATGAGCCATTTTCGTTACTTCATAACCAACTTTCTCTCATTGCTTTAAATACCCTCTATAAGTTGATGATTCTCAAATTCCTGCTTTAATCTTTCCTTTGAACTAAGATTCACATATCCAACTACTTACTGTACTTTACTTTCTAATAGGCATTTCAAACACAACAGTCCATCAGCAAAGCCTTCAGGCTCTGCCACCGCCATCGCCACCACCATTTCCTGCCGCACTGTTGAACAGCCTCCTAAGGGTCCCTGACTCCCCTTTCGCCCTGTAGTCAGTTCTCTGTACAGCAGCCAGAGTGACCCTTTTCAAAAGATCATATCACTTCCCTATTCAGAACCCTACAGATGGCTTCCCATCTAGTTCAGAGTAAGATCCAAAGTCCATTCCCCGGCCTTACATGTGGCCCCTAGTTATTTCTTTGACTCATCTCTTACCAATCTACTCCCTCAGTCTCTCTGCTTCAGCCACACTGGCCTCCTACTTGTTCCTGAACCCCAGGCACATCTCCCTTGGAGCCTTTGGTGTATCGTTTCCTTCCCATTAACCCACAGGGCTCACTCCTTCATATGACCCAGTTTCCTCTGGACTTCGACCTCATCAGAGAGGCTTCCCCACCACCTGTGTAAAGTGGAACCCTGCCTGGTCACTCCACTCTCTCTACGTACCCTGGCTGACTTTTCTCAGATGATGTCCTGTTAGTTTTCCCTGTTGGTGTGTTTATTGTCTGCCCCTCCCCATTTAAATGCCAGCTGCA